GCCAAACCGGCTGAGCACCTCCAGCAGGTGGGGACCCAGAGCAGGGAAAGGGATGGTCCCGCCCCATGGTCCCATGGGGGGGTGAACATCCCGAGGCTMCGCTCTGGCACCTGGAAAGGGCCATGGGATGATGTTTTGGGAAAGTCAGGGCAGCCCGTTTGCACCAGAGCAGGTTTTAGGGAGGGTGAATGGTTTGGCTCCATTAACTGAAGAGTTTTSCCCAGTTTTCAAACACCTGGCCTTGTTTCGTAGACTGACTTGAGGTAAAGGGGACAAACTCCCAGAGCTGACGTGGTGGCTGGAGGCAGAGCAGCCCAGTTTGTTGGTTTTTTAAAATTGAAAATGTCAAATCTGAGTTTTTTTGTTTTTTAACCCAAGTTTACACAACACAATGGACCACTGGCCACATCAACATGTGAGTCCACCACCAATGAACCTTCCATGAAACATCTCTGCCAAATCCTTACCCATCCCTGTGGCACCAGGATAATTCTGGAGCCTCCGTGAGCCGGTGCTGGGTCCAACTCCTGCACTCTGAGGGTGAGGATGAAGCAAAAAAAGCCCTGAGCAGCTCTCTGTGTTTTCTGTTTCCAGGGAAGGGTGCTAAGAGCTCATCCTGGCACTTCTTCGGGAATTTGCAGAGTGATGCCAAAAGCTGAATTCAAGTTCCCTCCTCCTGATTTGCAAAGACCTGGAAAACCTGACGCGCTCAAGTCAAACATCACACGTCATTTTTTCTGGCACTGAAACACCAGGTGAAACATTTTCTGAAACCCAGCATTTAATTTCAACGTTTCCTTTGGGAATGATCCTGTGCTGGAACACTGAACAAACTCCCCTTAACAATTCCGAAATGAAACTTTGCAGCTTTTTTTTTTTACTCAAAAGCAGACTTTCCATCAAAGCAAATTTATTTTAATTTGCAAATGGTTTATTTGCACAGCCTGCAAATGAAGTGAGACACAAAATGGCTTCAGGGAAGGCAACACAGGATGCAGCAAATCCAAAACGGAACGATATTCCCAGCTGCCATCTGCTCAGCTGGAGCGACATCCTGCTGCCCAGAGCAGCTGCAGGTTGGATTTGGAACCAATCCCCTGGGACAGCAGAGTGGTGAATAAACATGAGGAGCCCTGGAATTGCTGTCCTGTGGTTGAATCCCCTTTAGAGGACACTCAGATAATCCTTGTTTGTCTTCCCAGCTCCAGGTTTGTTTGAACAGGGGGAGATTAAACTCAGCACCAGCGCTGGGGATCTCTGGAAGGAAAATCAAGCCGGGATCAGGATGGAGTTGAGGGATGTGGAATGTGCACAGAGCTTGTCTGAAACAGTGGGACCCCCCCAGCAGCACCATTTCCAGGTCTTTATTGGGAGAAAAGACATGCCCTGGGGCTGGGAGAAAGGGCAGGATGGGACAAACACTCTTTGATCACCTTCAGCCTTTGGGGTTTGCGTTTTCCATGTGGGGTCACAG